CATTTTGTACTCTCTCCAGTTTTGCTCGCATCAAGAGACCAAGATGGCGGCTCGTCGAGCTAAACGATTGACATTTACGATCTCACGGAAAAATAGGGGACTGTGAACAGTCTACGTCATATTTACAAGCGGACAAAATGATAACAACTCTTTGTTACCAACAATACTGTTTACGAATTTTAATGACTGGAAACCATTCCTTGAACGTTTTGGCCTATGTAATGACTGTTCCATCGGTAGTCGTTTTCTTGAATTCCCATGGCATCGAATAAGTCTGTTTTGGACAAATGCCTTCAAAAAAAAAAAAAACTGAACGGAAATGCCATTCAAATACAAGCTACTGTTTTAACTTGGCAGCAGAGAGAAGGCTTACTTTAGAAACCGTGCATTGTGCTGCTCCCGCGAGGTTACGCAGCCGCTGAAAAGACATCATTTTTCGACAATTCAGAATGTATGATTCTTGTATTTACATCTGAAATCGAAACTAAATGAAAATATAACAACGTACAGTGTAAAAGCAAGGCTTTCAAATGATACTTAAGTGACATCTTTCTCGTTACCACTTTAGACATTTGCCGGAAACGAAGACAAAAACACTGTTGTGTCACATGGCCTAGCCCCGCCAATCACTGCACGTTATATTCGTTTTAGACCAGTGGATTGGAAGGGTTGGATTTCAATGAGAGTGGAACTCTATGGTTGTCAACAAGGTACTTAGTTTTGAAGGTCTTCTCTCTAGTNACTCTATGGTTGTCGACAAGGTATTTATTTTGGAAGTTCTTCTAATAAGCCATTTACCCACACTACCCACACTCAGATGACAACTTGTATATTGTTCAAAATTCTAGTAACAAAAGTAGTAGGTATCCGATATTCGTACATTGACGGATCAAAATGATCTAAGTTTTTGACACTGAGGGAGCTCCTCACAGCGGCCTTGCCTTTTACATTATACTTTGCCTAGAATAACTTAAGTGATGTTGCCTTTAAATTTCGACGAATGTGCTGTGTCAAACGGCGGCTGCAGTCACCAGTGTGTTGACACCGCACCAGGCTACAGATGTGAATGTCCAGACCCAGAGCTGAGCTTATCGTCTCAAAACAAAACATGTGCAGGTAAGTACCCAGTCATGGAGACTACAAGAAAGAGATAAGTGCATGAACTACTGATTTTATAGTGTTTGAAATAATATTGAGTCAAGTCAACTAAAGTCAAGTCCGTCAATATCTGTAGTCATATACGAAATCGTATCGTGGTTATATGGCTTTTTCACAAGTCGCCTGAATTCACACTAGAATACGATATCGATAGGAATAAGATAAAACCTTATATGATCACATTTCTTTAATTTATGCGTTAACAGTAATGCAGGGGAGTTTTAAAATGCTTGTGTAGTTTAGTCGTTGTCTGATCTCTAAATGGATCTTGTTCCACAGACCAGATCGTCTGTCGTGTAGGTCGTGTAGGTCATTTCACAAATTTATTCAGATATTCCAATATTTTGCGTTTACACTGGAAATATTGATCAAACAAAATCCACTTCAAATACAATGGGGGATAGATAATAAGACTTGTGTAGGTAAGTAACCAGCCATGCTGACTACAAGAACGCGAAAACAGTACCACGTTAACTTTCTGTACGGGGAACTTCCTCCTTGCAATTGTTGACCTTTTAAGGTCATTCCCTCGAAAAAGAACGCACAATAGATTTTCATTCAAATTTTGCCTGTTGGCTGCTTATATCAAGAGAACTTGAATTTTGAAATA